CTAATAAACTCTCAGGCAAGTTAACTGCTGTTGTTGGATATGGGGTTTAGGGGACAGTTAGGGTCCAAGACATAATGTTAACATTACAGCATGGATGGATACCTTCCATCCACCACTACCAACTGCAGCTCCTTAATATATAATAGGTGCTGATGTCTTGTGGGGGAGTTCTGTTTGTGTTATTAGGAGATTAAGCATGTGTCAGCTGTAAAGCCAATATTAAAAGACATGCTGAACACCCCTCTGCTATTTTTTTTTTTTTGACACCAGAAATTGAACCCAGGGAGGCTTAACCACTGAACCACATSCATAGCCCTTTTTATTTTTTATTTTGAGATAGGGTCTCACTGAGTTGCTTAGGGCCTTGTTATGTTGCTGAGGCTGGCTTTGAATGTGTGATCCTCCTGGTTCAGCCTCCTGAGCCACTGGGATTACAGGTGTATGCCACCACACTCAGCTACCGCCCTGCCTTTTTGCCTATATCCCTGAATGATTGCCACCAAACAATATCAGCTCCTCAGTAGCCATCAAGAATTAATGGAGACCATATATAAACTAGCTAAAGTAAATAAAATTTGCTTAATCCACAGTACTTTTAACTCTCTGTGTGAACAATAAGAAAGACAAGCAGAACTTGACAGTGGACTACAGGGCATTAAATAAGGTGATCCCTCCATTTTATGCAGCCATTCCCAATATAGCCATCATTCTAAATGAGCTTAGCACTCAACTGGCAACTAGAACTATGTGCTAAACCTTTGCTAATACCTTCTTTAGCATAGATACAGCTGCTAAGAGTCAAGACCCATTTGCCTTCACATGGAAAGGCCAACCATGGACATTTCTGTAATCTTGCCCATGTCCAATAGCATTAAGGTTACAGATAAAGAACACTTAAACCAGTCTAGGACAAAASTATCTACCTACTGTTATGAGCTCTTCAAAACATCACTTTGGAGACAAGAAGCATGAGTTGACCCCATGGGGGATGTATAAGTAGCCCCCAGCTMTTTGCCTTACTGATCACTTGAGGGGAGAAAGGATGTCAAAATTTACAAGTAAAGCCTACTGTGTTGGGAACCTGGCCCTCACAATTACATGTAATGCTACTCTTGGGTGTCAGCACCCAAGGAACACTTTCTATCAGCTTATGGCAGTTTTGTACTCTAGAGGTATCTTATTCTCTCTCTATCCCTGCAGTGCAAAGGTTGGTATGGTACAGCTGTCCAGGCAAGCCTACAGTGTAGGCAACATTCTAACATTGTATACTGTTTCACAGAGCTGATTTATCATTACTGGTGCCTATTATACCCCTGTCATATTCTCCATAGGTCATCAACAAGTAACCTATTCCTGGACTGGGCAATAGAAGTTACCTATCATGCTACCCAGACCAAATGTTGGATCTGCTCAGAATTCCCTGTGATAACAGCACACAGACTTCCCTGGGTAACCCAACTTGTAAATGCAATGGAATGAACTTGAATAACACAAAACCAGACTAAAGACACTCACCCACCAAATGGCTACTAAATAAAACTTTTGCTTTAATTAGAGAAACATTACATATCTCTTCAGTACCTGAGTAAATGGAATGGGCCTTCATGGAAGGTAGCAATTCAAATTACAGTTAAAAAGACAGTTTTCCTTTATGTCACCAATACGATCATGGTGTGTACTGTAGATATGTGGGCCCTATGGATGGCCTTACCTACCTTACCACTGGAAAGGACAATGTACCTGCCTTGTATCCTAGTCTAAGTTCTCATTCTTCTACCATATACACGTAGGAACTGGGAGAGCATAAAGATATGTCACACAATGCAGCACCATGCCTACTGGTGAGTCTACTCGTAAGCTGTTCTTTCCCTACCAGATGCAGTGATTGATGTGGAATCTCAGGTACTAGCTCTAACCTCCCACACTGCTCATCAGCTCTTCATCAGATGAAACATAGCAGAGCCTTGTTAAATGAGGAAAAACTACTCACAAAAGAAAGATGGTTTTTAAAACAAAATGGCACTATATATGATTATGGCTGCACAATGTGTAGTACATATAGTCTTCGGAACAGAATGTTAAGTATATATAACTGGTAGCCTTTGAGTCACCTTTTGTAAAAGCACCCAGTTCCTGCTGATGGACAGACTTACAGTCTTTGGGAAAGGAGTACCTGTGTTTCTCCTTTGCTAGCAAAGCAATATTTTTTTTTCCTTTTTCTCAAAAAAAAAAAAAAAGTACATACAACTAATAATGAATACAATATTACTATAGCTTTAAACCAAGTGCCTCAACAAATTAATGCTATTGATGCTGTTTCAATTGATATACTCCTAAGTGGTTATCCTCCTTTCCCTCAGCAYAGAACTACTATACCTTATATGTTATCTTCATAACCTTAGCATGGCTGCTGATGGGTTCATGCTGTTTGTACTGTAGAATATGAATGCAATGTGCCTTCAAATCCCTACCACAAGGGCTTCACAGAAGACAAGCGGCAGTATGTGACTGTGAGGACCCTTAAGGGGCTTTTAAGACACTAAAGGAATGGAATTTTAGAGAAACATTAATCAGAGTCTAGGAAAGCTCGTGCTGAGATAAGAATGACTCTAAAGAATATGATAATTAAGGAAATAGGGGAAGGGAACAGGTGTTGGGTTAAATACTAATCAGTKTCTAGGAAAGACTGATGTGAAATAAGGAGGACTCTAAAGAATGAAGAAGAAAATGGAAAGGGAGAGTTGCCCACTTCCTTTATCTCCAATCTTTAGGAGAGAATCAAAGCAGAGTGACTACGGTTATAAAGTAAAAGACTATCCTCATAAGACATCTAAAGAACTCCACCTGCACAGTGAGCATGCAACCTACCCCTTATATTCCTTCTGCTTATAAGATGGTAGGACCCTCCACTATAATTCTGGCTGCCACCATAGAGGAATGCATGAGTAATAAAATTTATCAAATCTCTCTACTGAGTCCTACAAGTTCTTTCTTTGGGATCAGTAAACACTACAGCCCTACAATTGAATATGACTCTACTTGGAATTGGGCTACAGGCCATTCAGACTACATTCTGATAAAGAACTTAGATCTGTTTTGCTCATGTCCTGAGACTTCATATGAGACTAAATTTGGACTAATTAATCTGGAAGAAAAAATATCCAGGCAGCACAGAATTGAGTCAGTGGCATGGGTTTTGCTGGTAGCTTTTAGCTAGGTTTACTGTGAGAATCATGATCAAAAAGCAGAGCTAAAGGATTTTAAAAACTTATAGTTTGACCAGAAGAGTGCATGTAAAACTGTGGTCAAGAAGAGTGTGATTTTTAAAGAGATTATAGCCACTAAGAGGTGCTAAGTGCTTCATGCAGAGACAATAGGAGAGCTGGTTTGAGGGCATCTCAGGAATTTATAAGACCACACCTATTATAGGCTCAAAATATAGAAGGGAAAATTCCTGTAAAAAAGATGCTGGGAGGCACCATGCCTGCATAGGGGAACCTAGGAAGTTGTTTCACTATGCTCAGCCACCTACGTACTCAGAGGCCACTGCAGCATTTGTCCAAGGAGGCCTGGCTATTTAGTCTTCAAGCTGTCAGCAGACCTTGGCATCGTCCCCATGGTGCTCATTCTGCAGGAATGTAGGCATATGGAACTAAGGGATCATGGAGGTTTCCACCAAAATTTCAAAGAAAGGCTTAGGAAGCCAGACAAAGTATAGCAAGGTCAGAATCTCAATGTGAGAGGATGATATGTAAAGCTGTGAAGGTAAAGCCAAAGCTGGAATGGAGATCCTAGAATAAGAGGTACCAGTAAAGTGGGTACCAGTAAAGTGTTTACTGAAGAAAAGCTGCTGGATTAAGAGAGAATCAGGCTAAGGGAGAGGCCAAGAGCACAACAGGCAAGATTAAAGGTGCTCTGTTTGGGGAGCACATTTATTTGCCTTTTGTCCTAGAAAACTCTAGATGGAATAAAAGGACCCGTTTGCCTAGTTGGGTTTTAGTTTTGTTTTGATCCATCCCTTCTCTCTCTGTCCCTATTCCTCCCTTTTAAAATGGAAATATGTACTCTGTAACACTGTATATTGGATATATGTAACTTGGACTTTTGGGCAATGCTAAAACTCTTAAGATTATGGGACTCCTGGAGATAAATAAATGCATTTCACATTGTAAGATGGACATGAGCTCTTAAAGACCAGGGAAAGTGTGTGATGGTTTGGATATGAGGTGTCACACAAAAGCTCCTCTGTAAATGCAGGAATGGTAAAAGATCATATTACGAGAGCTATAACCTAATCAGTCCATAATAGTTTGAATGGGCTGACTGGATGGTAGCAGTAGGCAGGTGGGGAAAGAGCACAATAGGCAAGATTAAAAGTGCAGGACAGTCCAAGCCCTTTGGAGAGCCCAAGGAGGTGGGTCCCTGGGAAATACACCGAAAGGGTTCATCTTACTGCAGCCCCTTTCCCTTAACCTGCTTCCCTGCTGCCACAAGGTGAACAGGGCTCTAGCACACCCTTCTACCATGATGTTCTGCCTCATCTTGAGTGCAGATCAATGGAGTTGGCCTATCATGGAGTAAACCTCTGAGACCATGAACCAAAATAAACTTTTCCTGCTCTAAGTTGTTCCTCYTGGGCATTTTAGTCAGTGATAAAAAAAGCTAACAGTTATACTATGTTTATTTGATACAACTTTTAAATAATGCAATTTAGTAGCTGAAACAATGTTTCAGAACTTTAAGCTCCTGGGCATATATTATCTATCTTATTCATTTTGGTATAAAGTAACAAATTATCTGAAAACAGCCTGATGCTTAATAAATCTAAGATAAAAGTCACTTTTCAGAATAAAAACTGGAATGATTACTAAAATGTAAGTGTTTTCACATAAATATTACTTTAAATTTTTGTAAAACCATATGCAATTAGTGAATTATCAACAGCTAAGCAGGGCAGAAGTGCAGAAGATAAGAGATCACAATCACTACAACAATCTTACCTTCTGATGTTTTCCATCGTTTCCATAAATCCTCAACAGTTATATGCTTATCTTCTCTGTGCAGATGACTGTGTTTATTAGTAGCATCTTTATATTTCATATCTTCTCTGATAAACTAGAGAAAAGAAAACACTGTTAAATAGACTAAAATTAACTAATTTAGTTTTGATTTAAAAAATCTTATATGGCTATTTCTCAGATAATAACTGGTATATTTTTGATACCTATTTGTTACATATATTTTGTGAAGTGCCTCTTACTAATTATCCAATAAAAATATCAGTGTTAAGTACGTATTGAACATTCATTATTTACCAAGTAGAAATTACATAACAAGTATGTATGTCTATACACCTAAAACACACATACATATACATAGGGTCATTAAGCTTTATGACAATCTTATAAGAAAAATATTATTTTTCTTTAAGACACAGATGAGAAACCAAGGCTGAAAGGGAGTAAATAATATGCCCAAATTAAATAATTTGAGAGATTAAATAATACAGTTGAAATAATGAACAGCAAAGTTCAGATTCCAAACCAAGTAGTAGTTATACTCAAGAGCATAATACATTTTTACAAGAGAATGTTTTAAAACATAATACCAATCTTTCAATTACTGCATCATATTTCTGTTTTCCTTTTAAAATATTGCTTATAACTTAAGGGCATTTGGTTACAATGTGCAGAACTAATGTATTTTACAAAACTGAAGTATACCCTATATTAGTCTTACTTTAAAATATATACAGAGCCAGACAGTGACCCACTTCTGTAATCCCAGCACCTCAGGAGGCTTAGGCAGGAGGATTACAAGTTCAAAGACAGCTACAGCAATTCAGTGAGTTCCTAAGGGACTCAGTGAGACCCTGTATCTACATAAAATACAAAATAGAGCTGGGGATGTGGCTCAGTAGTTAAGTGACCCTGAGTTCAATCCCTGGTACCCCACCACCACCAAAAAATAAAAATAAAAAGTATGTGGGTGTGTGTATACACAGAGAAAGTAATAAAATTATCCTTACAAGAACTAACCAGTTCTACGTTACTTCTTTAATTGTTTCCCACTGTCTAACAAATCAAAAGCAAATTCTTTTTTTATGGCTTACATATCATTTATAAATCTTTTCCCTGACAATCTTTAAGGCTTATATCCTGATACTCCTCCCTAAAAAGCTTTTAATTATATAAAACTGATATTTTTTTCCATGTTCTTTCAACCTCAATATTTCTGATATTCTTGTTTCATTATTGTTTTATTAGCACTTAAATTGATTTTTTTCTGATTCCAAAAACATAAGGATTATTTCAGAAATCTAAAATGCAGAAAGTGAAAATCCCCCACAGCCCCATTTCAGAGGCATATATTTCTGACTTTACACTGACAATTAACATCCTCTTCAGACAAAAGATGAGATTTTGCTTTTTACTAGAGTTGCTCTATACTAAACTATTTAGCAGTGATATAATATCAACCAAATATTTCACTTTTCTGATCTTCAGTGTGCTTGAATACCAAATACAGAAACAAGATTTTAAGATCAACAAACTATTTAACATGTGATCAAGAGACTAGTGTCAATCGTACTGATTCTGGTCTACACTAGATACTGAAACTGGCTGTGGCCACACTTACCTTTATAGTAATCAGGCAATGTTTTCAAAGCACCTGAATCGTGCATTTTATAATACCTCTCCATAAGAGATTGGAAATTCAACATCTAGTCCTTCATCACTATTGGTTTCCATAGCACTAATCCAAAACATTACTTTAGCATTTATATATCTGTTACTCTAAATATTGCCCTACTCCTTTCTTCTAACTGCTTCTTTTTAAAATTATACCTAAAGGTGTCTAATTGCTCCAACTCCTCCTTTCATCCCTCCCATTCTTCCTGACTGATCTAGTAGAGATAACTGGCTTTGATCTAGGAAAACCTAGAGTAAAAATCATGATGAGGGACAAAGCAGAGAGGAAGTATGTCCTGGAAATGATCCAGTCACTTAGAACAAATGGCAAGTGTTTCATTTATATGATACATATTAAAAACAAGTAGGAAATCCTCTTCATCATATGAACACTTAGGAGCCCAGAGTATAATTCTGGTGCTTCAGAATTATTACAGTTCAGAAATAAGATAACTTCCACATACAACAGATATTGTATTCTAGCTACTTAATATTTTAAAAGGACCAGAATGAGTTTATAAAGATCAATAAACCCTTAGACAAACTAAAGAAAGTGAGAAAACACTAAAATTAACAAAATTCCGAAGAAAAAGGAAATGTCAAAACAAACACTACTGAAATTCAGAGGATCATCAGAAATTGTTTTGAAAATTTATATTTCATTAAGCTAGGAAATCTTGAAGATATTGACAAATTCCTAGAGACATATGACCAAACCAAAATGAATCATGAGGATGTGGAAAACTTAAACAGATCAAGTAATGAAATTGTTGGAAAKAAAAGTTCAGGACCAGAAAGATTCTCAGAAAAGTAGTACCCAACCATTGAAGAACTAATACCAAGCCTCCTCAAATTATTCCATAAAATAGAAAAGGAGAGAATACTGTCAAATTCATTCTACAAAGTCAGTAGCACACTAGTACCAAAATCAAAGACAAATCAAGGAAAGAAAATTTTAAGCCAATATACTCGATAAATACACATGAAAAATTCTTAATAAAATATTAGCAAACCATATAAAAAACATATTTAAAAGACAAGGCACCATGAACAAGGAGTTTGATCCCAAGGATGCAAGATTGATTCAATATATGAAAGTCAATAAATGTAATTCAGCACAAAAATAGCATCAAGGTCAAGAATCATATAATTAATTACCTCAATAGATGCAGGAAAAGCATTTGACCCCTTCTTGTTTACAACACTAGAAAAACTTGGGACAGAAGGAACTTACCTCAACATTGTAAAGCTATATATGACAAACCCAAGGCCAACAATATTCTGAATGAAGAAAAATTGAAAAGCACTTCCTCTAAAAACAGGGACAAGGCAAGGATGTTCACTTTCACCACTCTTATCCACATAGTCCTTAAAACTCAAACCAGAGCAATAAGGCAATGGAAGGAATTAAAGGGATACAAATAGGAAAAGAAGCACTTAAACTATCTCTGTTTGCTGACAACACTCCATATATTTAGAAGACACAAAAAACTCCACCAGAAGACTTCTAGAACTCATAAATAAATTCAGCAAAATAGCAGAATACAAGACCAACACTCATAAATTAATCATGTTCCTGTACTCCAATAATGAATCTGCTGAAAAAAAAAAATTAGGAAAACTATCCCAGTCACAATAGCCTTTAAAAATTTAAATAAAATACTTGGGAATAAATCTAACAAGGTCTCAAGGTGAAGGAACTCAAGGTCTTAAAAGATGGTAAGATCTCTCATGTTCTTGAATAGGCAGAATTAATATTGTTAAAATGGCCATACTACCAAAAACGCTATTCAGATTCAATGTAATTCCCATGAAAATTCCAGCAATATTCTTCATAGAACTGGTAAAAGTAGTTCTCAAATTCATTTGGCAAAATAAGAAACCCAGGAACTGGAATTGTGGCTCAGAGGTAGAGTGCTCACCTAGTACATGCAAGGTGCTGGGTTTGATACTCAGCGCCACATAAAAATAAATAAATAAAATGAAAGTGTTGGGTTCAACTAAAAAAATATTTAAAAAAAAGACTAAGAGACCCAGAAGAGCAAAGCTGGAGGCATCATAATACCAGACCTCAAATTATATATACTACAGAGTTATAGTAACAAAAACAGTGTGGTACTGGCATGAAGACTAGTGGAACAGAACAAAAGACACAGAGAAAAACTCACATAATTACAGTTATCTGACACTAGACAAACATGCCAAAAATATACTTCGGAGAAAAGATAGTCTTCTCAACAAATGGTGGTAGGGAAACTGGAAATCCCTATCTATAAGAATGAAATTTGGGGCTGGGGATGTGGCTCAAGCGGTAGCGTGCTTGCCTGGCATGCGTGCGGCCCGGGTTCGATCCTCAGCACCACATACAAACAAAGATGTTTGTGTCTGCCGAAAACTAAAAAATATATATTAAAATTTCTCTCTCTCTCCTCTATCTCTCTCTCTCTCTTAAAAAAAAAAAAAAGAATGAAATTTGACCCCTATCTCTCACCCTGCACAAAAGTCAACTCAAAGTGGATCAAAGACCAAGGAATTAGATAAGAGAGCCTACAACCTCTAGAAGAAAATGTAGGCCCAACACTCTAGCATGTCACAGAAATTGACTTCCTTAACAAGATTCCCAAAGCACAAGAAATAAAATAAAAATCATTAAGTGGGATGACATAAAATTTAAAAGCTTCTGAACAGCAAAGGAAATAATTAAGAGTGTGAAGAGAGAGCCTACAAAATGGGAAAAGGTCTTTGCCACCTGGTCCTTAAGAACTCAAAAAAATTAACACCAAAAAAACAAATAACCCAATCAATAGTTGGGCAAAAGAACTAAAGAACAAATAAAAGAACAAATAAAAATGGTCAATAAATATATGAAAAAACTGTTCAACATCTCCAGCAATTAGGTACATGCAAATTCAAACTACATTGCGATTTCCTCTCCCTTCTGTCACAATGGCAATTATCAAGAGTACAAACAATAATAAATGCTAGTGAGAATGTAGAGGGAAAAGTACACTTACTCATACATTATTGGTAGGACTGCAAATTAGTGCAACAGGCACTTGAATAGGCAGAATTAACATCATTTAAATGGCCATACTACTAAAAACGAAATACAGATTCAATGTAATTCCCATGAAAATTCTAGCAACATTCTTCACAGAACTAGTAAAAGTAGTTCTCAAATTCATTTGGTAAAATAAGAGACCCAGGGGCTGGAGGTGTGGCTCAGCGGCAGAGTGCTCACCTAGCACATGCGAAAAGCAATATGGAGATTCCTCAAAAAACTAGGAATGGAACTAGCTATCCTACTCCGAAGTATGTATCTGAAAGATTTAAAATCAGCATACTACAGTGACACAGGCACATCAATGTTGGTGGCAGCACAATCCACAAGATCCAAGCTATGGAACCAACCTAGGTACCCTT